AGACTGCTTTATTTAAGTCATTCTCCAGTCCATTAAAATCAGTTTAATCTTCCAGTTCTGATTCTATCCTACTTGGGTGCTGTGAAATAACCTAACACTGTATCTATGGCCTGGTCTACACTAACCCCCCAAGTCGAAGTAAGGTACGCAACTTCAGCTACGTGAATAACGTAGCTGAAGTCGACATACCTTACTTCAAACTTTCCGCCGTTCAGACGCGGTCCACACGCGGCAGGCAGGCTCCCCCGTCGACTCCGCGGTACTCCTCTCGTTGAGCTGGAGTACCGCAGTCGACGGCAAGCACTTCCTGGTTCGACTTATCGCGTCCAGACCAGACGCGATAAATCGAACCAGGAAGTTCGATTTCCAGCCGCCGAACTAGCGGCTAAGTATAGACCAGCCCTTAGTTCCTTCTAGAATTATGAAATGAAACAAGGAGACAAATATCTATCAAATGCAGTTCCTCTTCATTCCTGTACTGCTCCTTACTCCCAGGCGAAAGCGTATTGTTAGGGTGCATGTGTGGTTTTTAAACGTAAGCTAATGTGGTAATACTGTTCTTAGCAAATGCAAGGTTGAAAAAATAAGTCTTGCATTTGTACCGCACTATGGTGTGGTTTGTGGTACTCCTTAGCTCCTGCAGGAGAGAGTTCTACAGTATGGGCTAGCCCCCAGGAAAGCCCTGTTTTCTGCACAGATGGGGTTCATCCTGGAGGCAGATACCAGAGGAGTGGAGCTGCATCGAGGGCAGTTCTGGTCCCTGAGGGTGAGATGCTATTTTAGGTATCCTGTGCCCAGCTGTTTAGTGCTCTGATAATCAGGATGCAGATCTTAAACTTAACATCATGCTCTACAGGGAGCCAGTGTCAGGAGAAGAACACTGGGCTGATGTGCTCTCAGTAACTTCTGTGCTGATGAGACCTCCTGCTGCATTCTGCCCCAGGTGCAGTCCTTTCAGGGTTGATGTTTCCATAACAAAATAGACTGCATTGCTATTATCCAGATAGTAGGTGGAGTTGCGCATTATTGTTACTAGGTTACCATTAGCAAGGGTGAGACTATTGCCATGCTGTTGGTATTTGGGTTTTCAACACCACTAAGTAATGCTTTTAACAATTATTTCTATTGGATTTTTAAAATAGATTTTTAAACAAAAACAACATTTTGGGCTCCAAATACTTGACAGTGTCCCTTTACACAGCCTACGTTAAAGCCCGCTCAAAAACAGAGTTTATAAAGGAAAGGCTGGTAGACCCCCTAATCCTAGCAGTACTGCAAGGTATCTCTGTAATGTGTATGTATTGAGGTATTTTATGTGAAATATTTCTTTATTTTACTGCTATATATTGTACAAATCACATTTTCTGCAAATGGTAAATTCTTAACCTAATTCTTTTGATGTTACCAAGTAATTTAAATTGGTTCTGAAAGCAGTTCTGGCTTCTGCTAAAATTTCTGCACATCAGAAAAAAAATTCATCTTTTACTATTAATGAAACAATGCACGTATTTTGTAAGTAGAACAACAAAAGCATGATAGATCTTTAATTTTAGCAATAATAATGTGTAAAATGGACATGCAAAAAGCTTATAATTAATCTATGTGGTAGTTATCCCATAATGTCATTATAAGTAGGGCCCTACCAAATTCACGGTCCATTATGGTCAATTTCACAGCCATAGGATTTGAAAATTGGTAAATTTCATGTTTTCAGATGCTAAATCTGAAATTTCAGGGTGTTGTAACCGTGGGAGTCCTGACCCAAAAGGGTATGGGGGGGGGTCACAAACTTGTTGTAGGGGAGTCTTGAGATTGTCACCCTAACTTCAGGGCTGGACAGAGTGGGGAGGAGGGGTGCGGAGCTATCTGCAGCTGGGAGAGATACCCAAGAGCAGCCCTGTAGGGAAAGAGCAAGTCCTGTCCTGCCCCAGCCCTACCCGGACTAGCAGCTAGGAGCCCCCTTTGCTGGGGCGCTCCTAACAGCACAGGGAAGATTGGATCCAACTCCACAAGCTGCCTCCAGCTGTAGGAACCTCCAGGGCTGCTGCCCAGTCCCAGAGCATCCTGCAGTAGGGGGAGGCACCAGGAGTTGGGTCGGGTCTCTCCCGCCCCCCTCCTCCACCCAAGCACCTGTGCAGGGAATGGAAAAGTCCTGTCCCTCCCCAGCCCAGCCGGAACTAGGATCCCCCTTTGCTGGGGTGCTCCTAGGAACAAGGGGATATCAGATTTCACGGGGAAGGGCTTATTTCATGGGTCCGTGTCACTTTTTCACGGCTGTGAAATTGGTAGGGCCCTAATTATAATCATTGTTACTTTTTTGTACTGCAGTAGAGCCCAGAGCTCCAAACTGGACTGGGGACCCAGTGTGCTGTACACACTTATAATATAGCCCCTGCCCCACAGACCTTATAATTTAGCAAGGTTAAGACATGACAGTTGGGTGTATAATACAAGTGAATGACAAGGAGGTGGAAGACAAGTGTAATGTTTATAGCTTACATATGCAATCTTATCCTAGGTGTACTGTTTTGAGTTTGTTAAAAAAAATAATTAAAACAGGTGCATGAGAAACTCTAAGGAAGGCCACCTCCCTAGCTATTATCACTAGGCATCATAACAGAGTCCTGCTATCATAGGTAACATGACAGGTGAGTCTTATTAAGAGATTTGAAGGGGTGACAAAGATAGTGGCTGTGCGGACTGGGTTAGGAGGGTGTCCCAGTTTTACAATAAGAATTATGAAGTTGTATTTTTTTTCATTTACCCTTTCATGATGTAAAATCAATATACAGTCTCTTGCTAGCTCAAATTTCTGTGCTGCCACAAAGGGGATCAGAATTGAGATCCTGAGCTCAGTCCTAAACTAGAATGGAATTAAGTGTCTGTAGATGGAGCCATGTAAAACTGCATGTGTGCATGTGGGCGCATGCATGGCCTTTAACTGTAGATCTCCTTCCCTGCGTTAATCTTTGGAGGTGGAAACGCCATGACAATGGAGCCTCTGGGAGAGGAAAAAAAGAAGGGATCAGGTTGTGGGGGGCTGTGATAGAGGCTCAGGAGATTACCCTCTCTCTGGGGAGGATGTTGGAGTAGAAGATGACATATACTATGAAATCCATTATAAGAAATCTAGTGTATTTAAGTTGAGATAGGAAGTAAAGCCTGTGCATTGGTTTTGGGATGCATATGATGATACAAAAACTAGTACCTTTTCAATTACATAGACCATTTAGATGTAAATTGTGCTTAGTAAATATATGCTGTTCAGATAGTGTTTAAAGAATGTGAAAATCCATAGATTTCTGTGTGTGTATGGATTTCTTGTGAGCATTTATTAAACAAAAAGACAAGAATGGACACTAGTTCACAAATGAATCCTGCAGTCTAATGTTGGGTCCGAGGACCAAGAACCCCGGCTGCAGCCCCTCAGTCTTGCTTATATGCTGGATAAGCACTTAATTCAATCCACCTCAACTTCTGTTTGTTTTTATGCACAAAGTTCACTCAGCCCTTGGTTAGGGAGGAATGAATTTAAGTCCGTTTTGGTTTGTTGTTGCATCGTATTATTTAACTAAAAGTGAACCATGTTGCTACCAAAATCTGGGGAGAACTTGTTTTAAGTGCCTAACTCCCATTATTTTTAATATGAATCAGAGTTACATTGATGCTAGTATGGAAGACTGTCCCCTTAGTATGGGACTGATTTGATTTGAAGTAGGAAAAGGGTAGGTGGTGGAAACTTAAGTTTTAAAATTGATCTGCAAAATTGAACATAAATGAAATTGTTTGGAGCAGGGAGGGCTGTAAGCTTCTAATAAGGTGAGAAAAAGGGACATTTGCACATCTGCACCATAACCCTAACTTTCACCTTTCTTCTCTTTCAAATGTTGTGAAGTCTGGTTCTGCCTCTGATTGCCAGCAGCGCACAGCTGATTTCAGAGCAGTTCCCTGCACTGGAGCCTTCCTATAGGGGAGAGATGTCCTATCTGTCTGTGTAATCTATATATCTATATATATAGTGTGTGTGTGTGTGTGTGTGTATATATATATATACAGCCACACACATGCATACATATATAAATACAATTATGAGGGCTTCTGAAAGAAAAGAGAAAGCTCTTTCTAAAAAAGTTGAAACATAGTTCATATTTTTATATACAAGAATACAACAGGATTTATCTTAGCTCCACATCTCAGCTCTGTTTTAATACAGTACCATAGGTGTGGTACTGTATTAAACAGGAACTAGTGACTCGTGGCGGGCCTGGAATTTCAGTATCTGAAAAATGAAAGTGGAGGGTCAGGAATTAAGCTAAACAAATGTGCTGAATGCCCCTGTTACTGTGATTATTTGGGTCATTCAGCACCTATTTCAGTATTTTTTAGAACTGTGATTAACCCAAGATATTTGAATCAGGTTTGCTGACATGATAGGATACACAATTTGCTCTAGTCTACAACTCACAGTCGATTGTGGTGAACATCTTATCAGTACCTCTTTATAGTAACGTGAACATGACAAATGTGAAGCCCCCTAGAAGGAAGTCACTGCTGATCAAGATTGAGGTGAATTTTCAGGGCAGTGAAAGAATACTTGCACTGTACCTCTTTTGTACATTGAAGACTTCACAGGCTCCAGGGCTGTCTGCCATAACTTTCTAAAGCACTGAGGGTATGTCTACACAACAAAGAAAACCCCACGGCTGGCCCATGCCAGCCAACTTGGGCTCATGGAGCTCGGGCTGCAGGGCTGTTTCACTGTTGTGTAGACTTCCGGGCTTGGCTGGAGCATGGCCTCTAGGACCCTGTGGGGTGGGAGAGTCCCAAAGCTTGTACTTTAAAAATTATATTGTGCGTTTTGGATTTTTTCGTATTGAATTCATTCTTCATTTGAGAAGCATTATGTTTGCAAATTGAAAGAGACTGTGTAATGGTCTATAATAAACTGAGGTCATGGTTTAAAAAATGTGAAACACAATGACTCTTTGTTTACTTTATAGAACACTTTACCTGCATTGTAAAGGTGCTGTTTACATTATTGTATACCCAAGCCCTGGCAGCATTTTCTGTAAAATGCAGCGCTGAAGACAGGGTGGCATGGAAGAACTCAGGAGCTCTGAAAAAGGTTGGTCAGTTTACTAAAAACTATATATTGATAAGATTGTTTGTTTATTACATTTATCAAGCATTTATTAATATATTATATCAATTCAATGGTGAACTTAATGTAGAATAGGTGTGGCTTAGCATCATGAGAATTTCATCTCTGGTTCAACTACTGTGCAAGTAACAAGTGAATCAGATTTGTTTCATTTTAGCTTAATCTCAGTGGACTCTACTACACATTTTGGCATAAGTAATTATCTTCGTAATATATCAAAGTTCTAATATTGTTATACTATAGATTTGGAGAGTTGTGCTTAAAAGCTTACATACTGCCTCTGTATCTAGTGATGTAAGTCCCTCACTGACAGGAGCACTAAATCTACATAAGTGCTAATAAAAATATTTCAAGTGGTATTTTAATTTTACACATTAGTCCTGCTTTGCATTTTTTTAAAAATCCATGTATGGATTGGTTTACTACATTTTTGGTTAATATATGATGGTGTCAATATGTTGTTGCCAGGATAGGCAAATTTTTAAGGTGACCTCTCCAAAGTCAACTTCGATCTCAAAATTGGTTATTGGAAATTGTTAATTAACTGTTGGAACAGAAAGAAAATTCTTCATTAGGTCCAACCATGGTACGATTGGTCATTCCACCAGTGTAGAAGATTATTCTTCTGCTTCTCACGAATGGAAAGACCTGCCTATTCTTTTCTGTGTGTGTAATTTTATGTGTTTGAATGATAATGGAAATCAGATAAAGACACTTACATGAAGAGGTTTTGGAAGTTTCACAACGTGCCATTGATAAAGAAGTGATTGATAGACTGAGAATAAGACTTTTTAAAAAATTGATTTTTTAGCTAGTTATAATGGAATAGAATATTCCTCTCACTGTAAAATTGAAGTCCTGTTAGATGGGCCAGATATCAGTCTAATATACTCATTTCAGTAAATAAAAAAGCAAGTTGTCTGCAAAGAAAATATGGAATTTTCTAGTTTTGTTCATAGTTCTTAATCACTAGCCATGTGCAATCCTCTCAAAATACAATATGTGATGCACAACTGACTAAGGAACCAGAGGAGGAATTTAGCAATATTGTGAGCCAGGCAGGTAATCCTCCCTCCTGCCATTGGTAGTATTTAAGAGGAAACTGAGACACCTGGCCTCCTTTTCCCATGTAATCACAAATTGGCCATGCTTGTCAGCACATACACCTACAGTTTTTAAGTGCAAGTCAGTAGTTTGTCCAGAGGGGGCTAAGTAACGAAATTTAGTTTTGTCTGTATGTGCTATTTGGTGTCTGAGGCTACTGTGCAATGGGATGGATGCTGCATTATTGTTAAATAAATGTTTTTCCATAGGATACTGTCATAATAAGAGTTCAATTTCAAACCCACAATTTTAGCATGAGATCTGTGCACTTTTTTGTTTATCTAAATGAGACCTAAGTGACAGACAGTTTTATAGGTGTAAATCTGTGACACAGAGTGCTTGAAAGCGCTGCCAGTTTATATTCTTTCGCAATCAGTTTGATAAATGTAGGCAGCTTTTATTTATCCTTCATAAAATGCTAGTAGAATGGGTCAAGTTTTATCTGAATATATATTTTAAATGTTTCAACAGCTAGCTACAATGAAATATTTTATTGTATGAAAATAGAGAATGATGGCATACTGTAGTCAGGTTTGCTACATGCTAAGACTTTTTCTCTCTAGCAGAATAATAGCTTTTTTAGTACATAAAGCAGTTTGTGCCTTAGGGTTGCAAATTATGTTCATGGATCAGCAAATGGATTTATGAAGTAGCAGAGTTTTTTTCATCTTAAAGGCACTCAGAATCACAAGTGGTGAAACCTCTTGACATATGTAGCTAAATATGCATTGGTAGCATATTTTTGTATTCTAGGAAGAAAAACTAGCATTTTCATTGGCATGGCTGTCGCTGACAGATGTTAACATTGTTATGTGGGTAGTAGTTTTACATTATATGACACCCTGCTGCTGAAGGCTGTTCGTGGTTTGTGTAGGTAAATCAAAGTGAATGGTAACTGAAAGTCTGTCAATTCAAGAAGGTTGACATATCCTTCCCCCCCCCCCCCCCCCTCCAGTACAGAGAGCCCACTGACGGCTTCATACGCTACTTTAGGTAAAGCGTGAGAGAGGCAGAGAACTACCCACTGGACACAGAATCCAACCTGCACCCTTCAGCAGACATAGTCCAATAGTGGCAATTGAAGCATCCCTGGTAGCTCCTGACAGCAGCCTGCCTTCCCTGCCTGTTTCTGGCGGATGCCTTAGTACAGCTGGCATGTGTACAGAGATACAGGTTCAGGTAGTAGCTCAATGTCAAGTTTGTTTTCTTTACTCCTTTTCGTACTCAGATCAGCCATGAGATTACCTGAAACCCAGCCCAGTGAAGCCCTAATCACTCTGCAAGCTGTATGTAGTCTTTTGGTGACTGGGGGAATAAGGAAGGAGAAGTAGTAGTGAGGAGGGAGCAAAAGAAGAAAAAAGATTTTGAGAGAGAAAGACCAGGGTTAAGAATAGATGGAAATAATAGATAAGAGTGTAAATGGGCAGAAGAAAGGACATATAGTGGTACTGAGCGTCGTGGAGAGATGGAACACGGGGTGAAAAGAGAAACATCTCTTTACCAAATCATCACAAGAGGAGCCTCCAACAAAAAAGATTGGAGACCATTGGCTTAGAACTAAGGGCCTAAATGGGGGAAAGGGATTTGGCCTGGCCCCTGCGGTGAATTTCACCCTCAGTGAGGAGTTTAAACTCATAGAAAGAGATGATTAACCTTGTTGTACATTAGGGAAATGAATGTCAGTTTTTATACAGCATTATATGGTAGAGCTTTTATATATTACAGCCCACTTCATTTGTTTTGGTATTTTTTAAAAATAATCGTCCTGGTAACATTTTGTCTTTTTCTGTTGATCATGTTTATATTTTTCTCACATGAACTAAAGTTTGTATCTAATATTGTTTCTTCTTGTGGGTATTTTTGTATAATTTCAAGGAAGACATTTATGGAAATATGCTGCTTATTTCTCATGGGTTTCTGTAGTTATTAGCTTTCTTGACACATAATTATTATGACACAAAGCTAAGTGGCTGATTAAAAAAATAAAGTCCACCGAACAATTTTTCCCTGTCTGTATAAATGTTACCCATTCTCTACATAGCATTAAATTTTTGATAGCTTCTTTCTCATTCAGTATATTTAAATTGCAAGCCTTTCTTGGTTCAGTTTAATTAATGCATTATAGCAAATTACAGTCTCAAAACTGCCACTTAACCTCACTGTATATGCTAAATATATTCCATCTGAATTGTATTTGTTTTTGGTAGCTTTTCACTATCCAAATATTGTTTCAGTTTCTACATCCTGTGTATTGTTATGCAGTATTTATTTGTGCTTAAAACATCACCCTTCCAATATCATATGTACCTCTTCTCTTTGAGTCAGAATGTGTGTGTTGCTTTAAAGGAAATATATTTCACCTTTGCAGCCTCTATAGAAACAATTTTCTCCTTATTTTGTATGACTGATGCAATTTGAGTCTGCCTTTTTCTTTATTCACAGAACACATCCAATGGAGAAAAGTCTTGGGAAGCATTACTGAGTCATGTGATTTCTGAGCTCTCTAAAGGGAAGATGTTTGAGGAAGGAGAAACTGAAGAATTAGCAATGGTATTTTTTTAAAGTTTTGTTTAGGAAGTTTTAACACGTTTACAAATCATTACCATGTAAATAGAAACAAAATGAGCTTTTGTTTGTTTTGGAAATATTATGCAGTTATGTAGTCATTAAATCTTTGTTTCGCAGGGTGCTAACAAATTACACTGAGCCTCTTTAGACCACTCATGATGTGTTATTTCTGGTGATTTTATTAAATTGAATGAAACTACTGACTCGATCAAACCAGGCATGTCTATAAATGTTAATAATCAAATATTGGATGTGTGCTTTTTTTTTTTTTCTTCCCTTTAGAGAATGTATTTTGTCTGAGTAGTGAATTGAACGGTAAAAAAAAATCTAAGCATCTATTGTCGTCTGTCTATTCTGCTGGGTGCCTAGTTGATGTGTTAATTTTTCCATAACATCTACCACCCGTATTTTTTGTAATCATTCCTCTAGTGTTGAACTATTTTTCTTTTTCCAGTGGGAGGCTATTAGTAATCTAGTGGCTAGTAGCAGATGATATTAATTTGGGTGTGACCACTTCTGCTAGGAAGCCCCAGGAGGATTACCAAAGGATCATTTGGTAATAAATATTCAGCAATTTGTAATATTTGGTTACAAATCACGTCCCCGTATTCTCTAATGACTGGACATGTCCACCATATGCATAAAATCTCTCACTATAGTTTTTCCAACATTTATCTCCATTCTATCTATATACATATTTTAATCTGACTGGCATGAGAACCATTGAAATGGTATCTTGAAGATACTTTCTTTTTTTGTGCTACAGACTGATAAAGGTCCTCTTTGTCAGATCAAAGCCCATTCCTCTGGGGAAATTTGTCTAGCCAAATCCTTTTCCCACCATGTCCTATATGGACATTTTTTGTTCGGAAAGTTGTCTGAAAAGATTGAAATTAAATTAGTTATTTTTTTTTTGTTTCTTAACTGACCAGAAGCCTTTGCTTCTGTTAAAGTTGGCTTTATGTATAAAACAGCTTTTTGAGAAAGAAAATGCCTAACTGGAAGGTGCTATATCCGAGATTTGTTTGTAACAAAATCATTTGAGATTATTAGTGAACTGTTAGCCTTTGGAATGTAGAATTTGGAAAGCAGAATTTAATAACCTCTCTTTCCACTGTAGGTTAGCTCTAGTGTTTGGTCTCCTGACTCAATAGAGTGTTATCTGCAGCAGTTCTGCCTGCCTTTCCTCAGGATCACCTGCCTTCTTCAACATCATCTTTTCGGAGGGGATTTACCCAGTTGTCAGGTACAAGGGAGGGAGGCGGGAAATGACACTGGTTTTTTTCTGTTGAAAGTTTTATATAGTATAATTGAAACATGTATTACTCCACCCCCAAATGAGAAAAGGTCCAACATTTTTGTATTATTTAGAGCAGATATTTGTTTAGTTGTAACATTGCTTCATGTCTGACACCCGTGAAAGACTTCAGATACACTGTAAGAATCTAGATAATGTTTTACTATATTTCACATATTTTTGTAGAAAGTGTCATGGCAAGAAGAACTGCTAACTTTGCAATATAATATGTGCCAGATACGTCCTCCTTTTCATTTTCATAACTCCCAGAGAAGCCCACAGGAGGTTATGTGACAGAAGGGTTTCAGAACTGGCTCTTTTGCATGGAAAAGACAAAATATAGAGTGAAATCACTGGCCGTGGTGTAACTTTATTTTGTGTACATTTATGCTAAAAAATAACCCAACCCCCTCCCTAGAATGTTTAATCTTAACCGCCACAGAATTTTCTTCTTTGTGCAAGTAACGTGTTAAAAACAATTCCGTCAAGAATTAAGAGATACTGTATTTTAATATGCTAGCCCAGGCCACTTTAATTCTGGCATTTCCTAACTTTTGAGTGTTTAACTTTGCAACCTTAATAAAGTTCTTTTATTTTGTGTGAGTGGGTGGATGGGTGTGTGAGTGTGTAATAAAATATAAATTTCCAAAAGTTATTTTTAAGATCAGATAAAATTTTTAATAGAGATTTAAGTGTCGAGACAGTATGGCTTAGTAAATGGGGATAGGGAGTTCATTTTGTGCATAGGGGAATTGAGATATGGAAAATGTATGTTTCATTTATAGTAATATTCCATCTCAAAGGTATGTCTGACAATCCTGTGTGTGTGGGAGGGTCTTCTTTCCTCAGAAGTTTATCTGCTTCCAGCAGCTGGCACTGTGACCTGCCAACCACCTGTTCTTCAAACTTCTGGCTTCTAGTCAAGGGAAATCAGTAGTAATTAGTGGTCCTGCCTTTGTTTGTGTCCTCTTCCTATTGTGAATTCTTCTCATAGAACTGGGTTTTTGATCAAATGTATCTTACTTCTTGCTGACAGGATAACTTCAGGGCTCTTTTATGGGCTTAGTTTAATTGGCTTTACTTCCACAGCACAGGGATCTCCTCTTCACCGTGTAGCTTATTAACATGAACTCAGCAGCTGGAGAGACCTGCTGTATGACAAAAGGAGTGCCTCTGCTTTTCCTGCAATACTTGTCCTTGCAGTATGTATGCATAAAGGGAAAGGTTCAGGGCCCCATAGAAGGAGGCTTAGGGAGCGGCCACATCCATCCAAGCTCTTCCAGAGGAATACTGCCCGAGGAGAGCAGTCCTGTGCATAGTCACAGCAACCATTCGATGTGAACTTGAAGGCCAATGGGAGAAAATATCTATCAAGAACTCCCTGCTTTAAATAAATTTCTCCAAAATGAATTCATTTGTTTCACAGTCTGGCTTCCTGAGTCTGTCTGAATTGATAGCTCTAGTCTGCCTCTAAAATAATGGCTTCTGAGGCCCATCTATAAAAGGGCCAGGTAAATTTGAGACTGTGAATTTGAATTTGAAATCTGCTGAAAGTCATTATAGACAAGTAGAGAAAGAGAATGAACCAGCAAAAGGTAAAAAAAACTAAAGCCAACACCAGAAACCAAAACCATTTGCATCATGATCATTTAAAGTGGATGCAGCAATGGCAACACCTGCAAAGGATGCCATAATTGCGCAGGCAGGAGACTTCTTCTCCAGAAGTGGAACACACACACAATTGTTATTGGTGTTAATATGGAACTATATATCCTTCCTCTGCATCCTAATCATGATTCACTTGGGTTATCATACTTCCAAGATGCTTCCCACAATATTCTCTTAGGGTGAAGATGTTATTAGCCAAATAAGTCAGGGTGGTTGTGCCCATGGACCCACTGAGACACCCCACTAGTTCAGTTGCAGTCAAAACATCTTTGCATGGCTGCCAATCTGAAAAAAACTAACTGATCTTGGAGGACAAATGAGTGCATGAAATATCTCACGTTCCAGATGTAGAGACTCTTGTCAAGCCTTATGTCTCTCTTTGGGGACTTCCTGGCCAGTCAACTTGAAAAAGGTACATATTCACACCCAGATTAAACTGGGATACAAAAATATCTGATACCCATTACCAGCACCTTTTTCACTTACTGTTTCAGTTTTTACTTACTGTATATACTCATTCATCAGTCCGTTCGTTTATAAGCTGACCCCCCCCCAAGATGGATAGATAAAAATAGCAAAAACTCTATGACCCTTTCATAAACCGACCCTATATTTCAGGGGTTGGCAAAGTTTGGCTCCTGGCCCGTTAGGGTAAGCCGCTAGCAGGCCTGGACGTTTTGTTTACCACAGCGTTCACATGCCTGCAGACGCTCCAGGTAAACAAAACAACAATGTATTAGTATTCAATTCAATGATTCCATAGAGTTTAAAATCATCACATTTTGGTGTAGACCCATTGATAAGCCGACCCCCGCTGTTTGATGTGTCACTTTTTTACCAAAAATATTCAGTTTATGAACGAGTATATACGGTACTTTTTCACTTACTGTTTGAGTGTTTACCCAGATGCTGATTACACTGACAACCCACCTTTGAGCACAAAGGTACAGATTTTTACAGAGGTGCATTTTTGGACGATGATTGTCTGAGGGTGCACTCACCAGTGACTGAGGCTGCAGCCTGTCTGCAGCACCAACCAATTTTGTGATTAGACTTCAGGAAGAGCGCCTGTCTGTTCCTACCCCAGCTAAGGCCTGGTCCACACTACCCCCCCACTTCGGACTAAGGTACGCAAATTCAGCTACGTTAATAACGTAGCTGAATTCGAAGTACCTTAGTCCGAACTTACCGCGGGTCCAGACGCTGCAGGCAGGCTCCCCCGTCGATGCCACGTACTCCTCTCGCTGAGCTGGAGTACCGGCGTCGACGGCGAGCACTTCCGGGATCGATTTATCGCTTCTAGACAAGACGCGATAAATCGATCCCAGAACACCGATTGCCTGCCGTCGGACCCGGAGGTAAGTGTAGATGTACCCAAAGAGTATTGATTGTGTCCATTGTTTTGAAAAGTATTTCTGTCACAGAAGAAATTTGGTCAGAGACTCCAGTCCCCAAATATAGAATAGGACCCATTCCATCCAATCCCTGCTAAAACTTCCTGATTCCTTTTCTCCCGATTCTTAAACTTGCTGCTAACTATTAGCCAGTTCTGGTAGTGTTTCTACAGTTAGGTGAGTGAGCTGTTCTGAGGTGGGCGTGTCCTAATGCTCTACCAGTATATCCCCTAAGGAAGATTTTCCATTAACACTTACAGAATTTCAGATGTACTGTTGGCAGAAAAGACATTGACGGGTAAGGAAAAAATTTGTCGTCTTTTCATCATAAAAAAATTGATCGAATCCCAGTAATGGCCAGAGAGATCTTAGGATTTTTCCCTATTTTTCCCTTTTCATTTATTTCATTTGAAATGAATATGAAAATACTGTAGGATTTAGGACTCTGCAGGAGTTTACAGCTTAAATGGTAATTGCTTTTAGGAAAGTGGTTGTTCCAAGCTAAACTCTAATGAATGAGTCTGAAGCAGTTACATGCCTAGAGTCAAGAATTGCTGGATATTCACCAGCACATTATCTATGGCAGAATAGGATTGGAGTGATTATCACAATTGCAATAAAACTTAATTCATCTGTACTTCAGTAAACTACAAAACTGCATTAACACAGGATTCCCTGTCTTGCAGTTAACTGAAATACAGATCCATCCATGAGGTGCTGCTGTTCAGGGGCTCGAGGCCACTTCAGATGACGCTACATTTCCTTTGCTCTGGCTCTCAGCAAATCCTCAGACAGGGTTCTTACAATGCCTAATGCTGCTGATGATCTTCTCCACGCTTCTTTCATGCTTCCTGATGGAATTTAGATACCCAAATTGGTGGGAGGGGTGAGATCTGGGCCAGGCTTTTTCCCTGCTTGAGGTGGCGCTCCTTATCTCTGGCCACCTTGGGAGTTGCATGAAACCCGAGTAGCCATTTCAGCGGTCATTGATTCTACTGGAGGAGTAGGAGGAGGTCTTTAAATAGCCTGGTATCACCTTTTTTCTTTGCAGTGGTGGTGTTTAAAACAATTGCCATGTATTTCCTGGAAGAGAATAAACCCAGATGCTGGCTGGCTCCCTGTGCTAAAAGGGAGATAGAAAAAGAGCAGTTCTGCTCCTCCCCTATCCTTTCCAGTGAGGAGTAGGAAGGATAGAGTTGTGGGCCAGCCTTGTCTGCAACTCATCTCACCCTTTCTCCTATTCTTTTTCTAGTCTATCCTAGTCATTCTATATTCTATTGCCCTTCAATTTTTATTGACTCAGTAGATCTTGACCTTATCCCACCACTCTCTTCTGGCAATGGTCTCCTAAATCAGTCCTTCTACACAGTATTGACACTATAGCTGAGAGGCCCTTTCCTTCTGCAGCTCTCGATGATGGCAGCCGTCTTTCTGTATTTCTCTTCTCGATGAGTCTCCATATTTCTCAAAACTCATTTTTAAAATATATTCGTTGTCTGTTCCTTTTTTCTTCTGCAAGTGGACAAACTCAATCTCTAGCTGGATGGGTTTTTGCTTAATATGTACTTGAACTAACGCAAGTGGCCAATTAAATTAGAAAAGTGATAGGAACAGGGGTGTCTTTCTCTTCAGACCAGCTATTCTCATGGTCCTACTATGTTTACGTTATAGTCAAAAGATGGTCTTTCCACTTCACATACATACTCCTTCAAGATGGAGTCATCCTGGACAGTCTTACTAGCCACCACCCCAAAAAACTACTAGCATCCATCGGACTACAGTATGCACATTTGACTGTAGGTATTTAATGCTCCCCAGCACCAGCAATAACTCCTGTTCTGCCATAGCAACCAGCACCTGCTTAAACAGATTAATGGGGGGCATAAGTTTACAGTTATTTAAAGGACATAGGCACTAAGAAGGAAAAGGGAGAAATAACATAGCATAGTAAAAGGGAAATAATTAGGAGTGATGGTAAGAAATTAAATGAAAAATGTAGTATGACTAGAATATATCAAGGAGATGTATTAGACAGTAAAATGATCTCCATAGAAAAAGTATTAGAACCCTTCTTGTTGCATTTTAAAACTAGACTGGACAAAACATTGTTATCTGCTTTGCATTTACTAATCTTTCATTGGCAGGGGATCCTAGTAAATAGGTCTTTTCTATCCATATATTTTGCCAGTTGATCAAGTATGTGTTTGCCCTGTATCTCTTGCAACTTTCACCCCATAATTCTGCAGTGAATCTTGTCTTGCCTTAGAACTTGATGGCTCTCAGACATTTCATTCATACCCATTTGGAAACAATCCTAATTTCATTCAGTGTATGTTTTCCTGATCTCGTTTCTGTCATCCATCTCCTGTTCTATTTTACAAATTAATATGTGTATTTGTAGTATCTTTTCTGTCAATCAGTTATATTCTATATTTGTTAAAAGCTGTATGTCTCCTTTGCTGATTTCTATTGTTCCAATGAAAAATGTGATAATCTTTGGCTTAATCTTTTGTGCAAGCTCCTTTACTTTCTCCTACTTAAATTTTCTTTCCATTTTTACACTCCCTTATCGTCATTCTATAATTTGTCCTCTCATCATCTGTCATTTAATACTTTGCAGCCTCTTCTCTCTCACCCTTGATTACTCTGCATATCTTTATCCAAATTGGTCTTTTATTATTATTATTATTATTATTATTCCTAATCATATACTTATTGCTGGCTGGCATGCATCTTGGGCATACTGTAATTCATTTATGAATACTTCACATTTTTTTGTCTTTCAGGTCCTTTCCCTGTATTGTTTTATCCCATTCATTTCATCCCTGTATTACCAATGTGCTCTGAATAAATGTATAGCCTTATTTTATGTTTTCTTCCTTTTCTCTAATTATCAATTTAGGCTTCAGTTCTAAACATGTATGTATGTGCTTAACTTTAAGCATGTAAGTAGTTCCATTGAAATCAGTAGGACTACTCATGTTCAAAATTAAGCACGTGTGTGTTTGTAGCATCGGAGCCCTACACCGGTTTATCTGCCTCTCAGATATATCACCAAAATAATCTTAAAACTTGTTCTGGATTTGTAGAGAATACAGTACTTCCATTCAAACTAGACTTCAGTCTTAGGTCTGTGAAGTGTAAGCTAACATTTTATGGGCTTCATTCTCCACTTCACTCAAGTTCAGGGGCAGCTTTAACTTGCACCTCTGATGTAAGGACCCTCAGGGATTTTACACCACTGAAGAATCAGGTGTAGCAGAGCCTCACTCTGCCATGCTCCCTCCCAGTCACTTACATATTCGTTGATATGGAATTGATACATACAGTGCTGTGCTTTGAGTGTATAACACAAAATGATCAAGTCTTTCTTGTTTCATGTCTAAAAGGAAGATGAAGAATTTACAGTTCTTACAAACTGCCTGGGTCTATTACCATCATCTTTTCAGTCACCACATCAATTCACCAGTGCCTCTTGCCTTGATTGGCCAGTGCCAGCATTTAATATGATATCACAGTGGTGCTTAGAATTGGCTTCATTTGCAGACAGACATGCAGAACAAGTGAAGGTATGTAAAAAAATTTGCACCCCCCCCCCACACAGTGCTGATGTGTAAGAATGGAATTCCTTGATTCTAGTTATGCTGTGTGTGTATGTGTAATGCTGTGTTTTAAATTTATCATGACAAAATAAGCAGGCATAGTTGAACCCCTAATATGTGTGTTTTGTGCTTGCATCTGTTTCACTTGCATATTTTGCAGGTACAACTTTGTTTTGAAAACTTGAACCTTAATGGCAATAACAAAATGTTCTTGCCCTTAGTAGATCTGATTCATTCGATAGACCATTGAGCCATGGTCATAAAACTATTGATATCGTTTTTATGTTTGAAAAAGAACACTGCTGTTTTATTGTATTTTCCAAATAAGACCTCTTTCAGTTTTTATAACAAACTCTTGTGAACAGAACAGTAATTTGTAAGAAAGATCCTCACACGGGTTACCTTAAGTGGGTAACCTGCAAAAAATGGAATAGATTCAACTGTAATATATTATTGGCTCTTTAAAAATTTTAGGCGAAGTTTTTCAAAAAATAAGAGGGTAAAGTTAGACTCTGAAACTATTATTTAGGCACCTGTCTGATTTTTAAATGTACTGAGTACATTTACCTCAGAGTGAATAGCAATTCCCTTCAACTTAACTGGGAATTGAGTGCTCAGTCTGTTTGAAAATCAAGCAAGTTCCTAGACTTCAGTTTCAGAGCCTAACTTTACCCTACTGTTTTTGGCCCCAAATTTCAGTACAAGTAGCAGCTTTGCCTGTCCATGCTAGGTGCAGCTATGTCACTGGCTGTCCACTAATGGCTATAATCAGGGCAAATCCGCAGTGTAAACAAGACTTAAGGCTCATGTTTTACCTGTGAAGTTTGTTGCCTTTAGAAGGTGGAATGCATTGTGCCCTGAGGAAAGGCAGTCTGTAGCAGTTTGTAACCTTACTAAAGCAATTTATGAGTATGCTGAGCTCCATGGGGCAAGAAGCAGGTTGCTCTTGAGTGATGCTCTCTGGCTGAAGTCTTAATGCAGCATTAATAGGCTCCATAGAAGCCACGTCTAGTCGTCTTCAGCCAAAAGGCATTTAAAGGACACTTTGGAGCTTGTGTGGAATGCAGTAGAAAGAATGGACCATCTCAAAGAGCACATTTCCCTCCTTTAAAAAAAATTCTGATGTTTACATTTTGTAGTTTGTAGCCTGATTTTGGGTGTGTTAGTAATGTTGATTTAATTTATTTGCTTAATTTAATTTTATTTAATTAATTCTTAATTAATATTAATATAATAATTATTATGGATATTAATTAGTATGGGTTTAGGCTCGCCAATTTGTTTGATCAAAAGATAAAAGTTCGTCCTGAATCAGGCTTCACAGAGTTTATAAAAGGACCTTCGGGGGTATGACAGGAAACTTACACTGAGACAGATATAGTCATAAAGACCTTTTATTAAAATCAATGAAATAGTAAGCAAATGGTAAAACAGTTAGAATTACAGAGTTGCAATTGTACTACTGTTATTCAAGAGATACATATGATAATACAATATTATGTGCTGCAAACTTTGGTTAATACTCACACTTTATTTTAGTAACCTAGTGTTGGAAGATACAGGACCCCGCCTCTGGCGGTTCCGGCTTCACAGCTCCATCAGAGGAAACTGATGCAAAGAGCTGTTAAAGCTGTTTACTTTCTAACTTAACTTAATAAACCTTAAACTGAAATAAAGTGTAGGGAAACCAAGCTTAGCCTACTCCCCTTAAAACTTAGTGTGAAAAGAAAAAAGTATGGCCTATTAATAGTTAATAGCCGTCGTAGATGGGTAGCATCGATACGTTGTTGAAGATGGAGACAATGAAGAGTAGATTGCCTCCAAAATGGTGAGATGAATCGCCTTTTTATAGGGCATTGGTCAGAAATCCTTCCTTGTATGGATGACAGGTATGTATGCACTTGTGGTTTACTTGTTAAGTCTGTGGGTACAACTTTGAAAAATCCCCTTTGCCATTCTTCATTGTCTATTGGGTTAGGTAAAAGGTCTTTAGACATCTGCGTGGGTGTTTTATCTTTTTGGGTCACCTTTACTTTTTTGGGTAAAGGATCCCAGCTTGCCCCGGATGCTGATTATGTTTTAATAGGGCTACTGTTTCATTAAAAGTTTTTTTTCCTATCCTATACTCAGGTAGCAAAGTACTCCACAATGCTTGATTTACTGTGAGTTGTTAGGGCTACAAGTTCTAAAGTTCTCACAGCACAGATAAATATACATACAACACTGATAAATGTTTCTATCATTTTCTTTTTAGGTTTTGCTTATACAGGAGCCTAAGTGGGACTTGCCATGTCTCCTTCAGTTGCCTGAAAATTATAATACCATCTTCCAGTATTATCACAGAAAGACTTGTACTGTCTGTACCAAGGTTCCTAAAGATCCTGCTGTTTGTCTAGTTTGTGGTACTTTTGTATGCTTGAAAGGACTTTGCTGCAAACAACAGAGTTACTGTGAATGTGTACTGGTAAGAGAGGATTCTACAATAAGAGAATTTCAAACTACTGTAGCTTTATTTCCATTTTTAAATTAAAAAAAAAAATCATGCTAAGAAGTTCTGCGTTCCTTTCTCAGCTCTGATAGTTTTCATTTCCAAACATGTTTTAATTAAATTTTTAGTCTGCCCCCTCACAGGAGACTTCTGGAGGAGGAGGCAGCCCTTAAGGTATTTGGCCTTATCTCTAAGGCAACTTGAGTGAGAGAATATGTAGGTACTTCTTCCTCTAAGGGCCAGTCCTTACTTTCCTTGTTTGGACAGCAACTAGCCTTATTCTCCCTCCATGATGAAGGACAGTAAATGGTCTGCTCTGAGGCCAGTGCTAGTGTTACTAAATGGGTGGAACAGTTCTGTAAGTCAATGGCTGTCACCCACTCTCGCTCTGAAGTTCACATTTGCCATCTCTGCAAAGCTGGCTTGAGAAAAGAATCTTGTGATTGTTCCTGAATTAGTATAAATATATTTAAAGAGAAACTATCACATGGTTTTTAAGTCCAAAAATCAGTTTTGTATTTAATTTTTATAGATGTTTTATTTGATATTTATAGATGTTTTATTTAAATGTGAATGAAAACAAGTTTATTTTTAATTTCCTGTAGTGTGTTCATCCTAAACTTTTTAGCATTGTACTAATGCAGGGAAGCTACAAAGTGAAACTGAACAGAAATAAAAGTAAAACTGAGTGGTCTATTTTCCTTTTCTGAATGAAATGCAAAATGTAAACAACACAGATAATGATCTTTAATTTTTGTTTGATTCATCTGGTTTGTTGCTAATAACACCATTAAGAAAATGTTCTTTAAAATAGGATTTTTAACACTGTCTTTTAAATTGAATACGTTCAATCCCATGAAATCTTAACATAAAACTTGAATTATTATAAAGCTCTACTAAGTCTCCCAACAAGGCTACAAATTGTGGTTATGATTTTTGTGTGTGTGTGGTTTGTTTATTTGTGGCCGCTTGACCACTAGAAAGTTGACTGAGACCACAAACTCATTTCGCATAAGCCACAGAAGAGCCATCAGTCTTTACTGTTTCATCAGTACTATCTTTAGATGCATATTCATATCAATAACTTAAAAATTAAAGTCTCCACATTTCATGAGTGTTCCTGTGAACTACATGCTCTTTATTGTAGGAATATGTTTCCAGTATTAGAGAAAAGCAGAGGGGGGAGTCAGCACACCTGGATTCTATTCTGAACCACCACTTTTTTGATGTGTAAACTTGAGCAGGTCACTTTGGCTATAACTTTTAAAATTGGGCCTTAACCGCTGTGTTCTCAGTTTCCACATTTCTGTGCCTTGTTTTCCCCACCTGTAAAATAAAGATAATTAAGGCTGCATTTTTGTCATGGGAGTTAGATTGTGATTTTAATATTTTAAAAATATATTCTTTACTCTTGAATTGTAGTGACTTTTTTATTTATCGGTGAGCGGATGTGGGTGGTTTCACTGAGGACTGAGTGCTGCCATGTTAAATCTTAGGCTGCACATGAGACAGAGAGAGCAGGAAGGGGCAGACCCGGGAACTCTGGGAGGGATTCTTCCCCATCCAGCATAAAATGCAAGAAAAAGGCTTAAATTGTGAAGAGTTTATAGTAGAATGGATTTGCAAATTTCAACCCTGAGATGGTAACTATTGTACTATACTCAAAGTTGGCTGCTGTTTTCACAGCGCAAGTAGAGTTCTAGTAATTTCCTCTAAAATGTTTTTTTTAAAGGTATTGGGGATTAAATGACACTTGACCTTTAAAAATTTTTAAATTATATTTCCATGAGTTACTCTTTTCAGCATGAGCTCTGCATGTGTTTATTCCTAAAAATTGCCATGATGAAAAACCCCCATAAGGATAATACTTATGCACCTTTCTGAAGTACTTGAAGTGACAGGTGCTTTATAAGTGGAAAATAGTATGATCTCCAACTCGGTCACAAAAAAATAATATGGTATAAGAAAAAATGATCAAACTTTAAAATAGTTGGACATAAGGACTACATTTGAGAGGTCATTTTTATGAAAATATACTGCAGACAATAAAGGTATAAGACAAAAAATAGAATACTTTGCAATATTTAGATCATTCATTATATTTTAGTTCTGTGGTCATAAATTTCCTTTGTAGTAAAAATGTGTGGAAAGGGCTAAAATCTTCAAAATACAATTACAGAAATGAACTGCATAAATTAATATATGTCATTCATGAACAATAAAAATATATTGTTGTAACCAGGAGTTTCACCTTTTAAGAAGTCTTTTTTTTTTTTTAAATTGTGACCAGTGTAGATACTGTGAAGGGCAAGATGAGGAGCAATACACAAGTATGGCAACACCTGCAAATAGGAGTCCATCCTGTAGAGCAGTGTGCAGCAAAATACCCTGAGTACTTCATAATCTGAGAGAATCTCAAATTCTCACTGTTCACTAAAAAATAATATTTTGCCACATCAAATTGTGCACTTCTGCTAGTAGCAAGTTAGTGATATTGTTGTGAACACTTTCACTCAGTTTTCTATAGTAACTTAGTTTTTCCCCAGGGTGGCATGTTGTTGTACTTCTGCTTTTCTTAGACAACATTCCCTTTTTGAGTTTGGAACCATCTTCTGCATGGAACTTCGTGTATATGTATTATGGCAACATATCATGTACGAGGTTTTGGCTTATTCATAAAATGTATGGTAGGCTCTACTTTATCATGCAAATCCCTGGAAACATATAATCCTTAGTGTCTAAGTATACAGTAGAGGCAAGGATCAAATTGTTCCTTAGTAAGTGATGTGACTCTCATTCATATAAGTAGTGTGTTTGAAATAAAATGTTCTCTTTATTATAAAACTGTCAGCCATTAATAGGATATTTGTACTCTTCCCTCCCTAACCCCAAAATATAACTTCTAGCATTCTCAGAACTGTGGAGCTGGGACAGGAATATTTCTTCTGATCAATGCATCTGTAATCATCATCATTCGAGGCCATCGTTTCTGCCTTTGGGGTTCTGTTTATCTAGATGCACATGGTGAAGAAGACAGAGATCTTAGGTAACCTTTTAATAAAGCATGTTTTGATTTTGCTGCTTTATGTTTACAGTGTGTGATAAAACAGATACAGTAATTAACAAGTTCTCACTTCCTGAGTAGCACATATTTAGAAATGTAAATGTTGTCATTGCATTTGTTATATTATGCTAATTAAATTTATATAAATAAAATGATCTGGAACTTGTTTACTAAGAAATGAATTGTGCTACTTGCAAGGTGTACGTTGTGGTGCAGGAATTTCCTGCAGAATGTCAATTTGAGAAGGAGAGGCTTTGCCATCTCTGAATCCATATGGTGCTTAGGGTTGGGAGTTTTGTTCATGACGTTGTTATTACAGAAATCTTGTTTGTTTCTAGAAGTTTGATTATTAGGAATATTTTTGAGGTTATAATGATATACGTGCAGAATGTAAGTAATATGAGTTTAGGGGATAAAGTAAGGATTGTGGCTATTCATCCTAGGTGGGCAATGGAGGAGAACGCTATGATATTTCATAGTTGGATTTGGTTTTGTCCGTTTCATCCGCCAATTAAAGTGGATGCCTGTCTTTGTCTTTAAGCACACATGCATTGAAACTCTTGACAAATAAACACCTTAAAATAATGAACTAAGCGGTAAGACATTAATACCCGATAGCCCCTTTGTCTGGTGCATGGGGTCGCAGTGCCGCTCTGCCCAGGTTTTCAGGTGCCTGAATGACATTCCAGACTGCTCGGGCAGCCACTCCTCTCCTGCATGTTCTGATCAACCATATAGAGCCCTCTGTACACAGAGCACCACTTCTCTGCAGACCCACGGAGCATGCTACAGTACCTAGACTGCTGCCCCACTGGCCTCTTCCACAGCTTTCCCTATGATACGGGCTATTGGGCATTAATGTCTTACCACTTAGTTCATTATTTTAAGGTGTTTATTTGTCAAGAGTTTCAATGCATGTGTGTTTTAAAACAAATGAAGACCGGCATCCTATAATATAAATATATACATATGTACATGGAAACTGAAAAGAAAAAAAATGCAAATATCATTTAACTTCGCTGTTAGAACATTACTATTAACTTAGAGCCACCATATAAACATTTTCCGTTTGTTTTTCACTATTAACTGTTGATTTTTTTTCTCTCCCTGTAGGCGTGGTAAACCTCTCTATATATGTAAGGAAAGATATAAGGTGCTTGAACAGCAGTGGGTATCTCATACCTTCGATCACATCAATAAAAGATGGGGACCACATTACAATGGATTGTAAACTATCACTATTGTACCATATCATCCCCTTACCATGAATGAATGCAACTTGACTGACAATAGCTTTAACTGAATGTGGGTTTAGCTCTTTCACGGGGGGGAGTGAAACTATGCCAATATATGAAGTCTTTCAATAATTAGGTGCTTTTGCTACCAAATTAATGGTATGACAATTTAAAAATCCGTTCTGAATGGTGTGAAAAATCTAAATTCATTCAGTAGTCTCCTTTTGTTTTGTATTTTTAGAATTCCACTAATGATAAGAAGCACAAGTTGTACTTATACTTGTTTAGGGATGACAGGTCCCAGGAACTTATATTTCTCTGGGTGGAATTGAGTCATTTAGCATCTTCTGCTGAAACACTATATGTGTATTACATCTGCTAAACATACTGGATAGATTTTTCTTTGCCTTTCTTGTATTAATTTGAGATTTTTGCTTGATATCCAATTGTAATTATATAAAACACATGATTTGTGAGACTGTATAGTAACACTGGGTCTAAAATAGAACTTTAAAGAACATTTCACTTATTGTGAAAGGTCTATTGAAAGATTTCACGCATTGCTGAAAACCTTATTTATTCTCAGGAATTTCATAGATATTTTCCATGTATAAATGAAATAGCTGCGAATTAAGTAGCTTGCTATGAAAACAGAACACGTATTCTTTCTTATTTTTTCTTTTCCAGAAATGAAATTTGCCATTTCAGTTGAGTAAATTACTGCTGATAACATATATAGATGTTACTGTATGTACAAAATTTGTCAGATTTACAACACGGCAGGTTCTAATTACAACCCTGCCTGCCTTTCGTTGCCAACCAGATGCATGTTTCAGAATGATTGGATTGGAAACATGTGGGTTATCCTGCAAATAAAACATAATTTTGAATCTTTCATGTCAGCTCAAGAGGTTCATCTGTATTGTATTTGTGCAGAGTAATCAGTGCTCTTTCTGCTTGATTTCCTAAAAAGAAAAAAGCGCAACAGAGGTGGCCCTGGTGAATGAGCAATGCATCTGAATCCTCATTGGAAGAATGCCGAATAAACAGTTTATATTCAGAGGTCTTACAGATCCATGAGAATAGGCATGATTGGGCTAAACTCCACACTGTAAGTAGGTAGGGAAGATTACAGATAAATACTGGTATGTAATATATTGCTACTAAGCTTTTCTCTCAAATGAGTCAGACATTTGTTGGCTATTTCATACAGTACTATCAAGCAGTTCCTGGTACTATGGACTTTTCATAGCTTGTTATGTAAAATAAAATTTATATGTGTAAAATAAAAACATCTAATGCTAAAACCATGTGTACAAAATGAAAACAGATCCCTCTTTAAGGGTCTCACTGAAAGTCATTATCTAGTGAAAAGTGTATAGGGGAAATACAATGACCATACAGCAGTCAAGAGCAGTGGACAGACAAAAAAATCCACTTTAAAAAAAAAAAACAAAAAAAAAAAGTGATGCCCTGAGGGTTTTTCCCAAGATCTACAATTAAAATACATTATAATGGTGTGCTGTTTTTTATATATACATATATATATTTCAAAAGCATTAGAATACTACTTGTAAGATTAGAATTATTCTGTTTCACCAACTGAATAGCTATGTCTTTTCCAAAATACTACTTTTTTTAATATTGTATCATAAGTTCAGCCTGTAATATTTTTGCATTGCTCATAATGAATTATTAGGCCATTTTGTAAACATGGTTGAAGAGCAAAAAGATTCTTTACATCTCCAGCACAACATTATTACAGGGCTCACGAACTTGAGTAATCTATAGTTTGAAACTCTGATGCTATATTTACAAGAGATAATGTCTCCAGAAATTGATTACTGTGTATTATTTAAAATGGAATGTTTTATGGTTGTGCATATGGATGTGAAGTAAAATTATTAGCCTTAACTTTAAAATCTGGGTATTTCATAGTGTTTATTTTGGTATTGGTGAATTAGTCACCAGTCAATTAAATAAAGAAAAAAGCACTTGATTCAAGAATTTTACTTGAATATACATGCATGCTGCTAAACTAGAATTTTGATTTCCCCCATAACTTTTTAAGCCTGCTATATTAAGCTTACTTTGAAAAATAACAGCTCCAAACTAGAGTGGTGGGTGTGGGTGTGTGCATTCTTCAAATGTACTGGTGTGGTATCCTGGATGAATGATCATTTAAGTACAGTACATTACTGTAGCATTTAAATCACTTTATAACACATCAAAAAGTACAAAAATAGGAATACAGTAATCAACATTGTAAGATATGTTAATAAAAGTCTACTATCATTCTGTGTGTCTGTGGGCTTTTTTTCCCTCCACCTTAAGGATCCGAGGTATATTTGTTATTGAAATGCGTTCGGTGTCCAAATATTTATTTAATGCATTAATAGTTAATGCATGCAAAAACATTATGTACATAAAGCAACTCTGGCATGTTTTATCTTTTTGGTCACTTAACTGG